ACCGTGCCTGGCTAATTTTTATTTATTTATTTATTGAGACAGGGTCTTAGGCTGTTGTGCAGAAGTGTAATTATGGCTCACTGCAGCCTCAACTCTCTGGGCTCAAGTGATCTTCCCACCTCAGCTTCCCAAGTAGCTGGGACCATAGAAGCCCGCCCCCCCTACAATAGCCTTCCATTTGTGGACTATTGATACTTTACCCCTGAGTTATTCACAGTGTCAGGAGTTTCATACCAGCCCAGGAACAAGTGAGCAGAGTTTATGAGTGTGGCTCTTTCAGATCACTAAACAGATAGCTTACAACTCTGCCCATGGGCTGCAACAGCAGATTCTCCCCCTGTGGTATCAGCGGAAGGCTGAATGGCTATGGCAGTCTACCTGGGGGCCAACACGTGCTGGAACCATCGGTGTATCAAGCTTCCTCGGGCAAGTTCCCATCTTTTTCTTATTTCTTGGGTTTTTTTCCGAGAGTGGTGTTGAGATTGATTTTAAATCTAAAGTGTATTGTGGAGAGGCCAGGTATGGTGTCTCAAGCCCGTAATACTAGCACTTTGGGAGGCTGAGGCGGCTGGATCACTTGAAGTCAGGAGTTCAAGACTAGCCTGGTCAACATGGCGAAACCCTGTCTCTACTAAAAATACAGAGATTAGCCAGGTGTGGTGGCGCAAGCCTGTACTCCCAGCTACGCAGGAGGCTGAGCCACAATAATCGCTTGAACCTGGGAGGCAGAGGTGGCAGTGAGCTGAGACTGCACCAGTGCACTCTAGCCTGAGCAACAGAGAGACTCTGTCTCAAAATAATTAATTAATTAAAAGTGCAGTATATTGTAGCGGTTGCAGCAGGTCCTATAGTTCTACAGACAGAGAGCTAGATATAAGGTGCCCTCTCCGCTGGAGATGTGCGTGTCACCTAACCAGAGTGCCGTGTAGTGCTATGGCTGATGATGCAGGCCCAGCACATAGGCCATCCACCCACCCCTTCATAGGGTAAGCTGTTCCTGCCTCCACTGGCGTATCTGCAGTGCGAGCCTGTGTTTGCAAGAGGGTCTGGTAAGCTGCAAGGAACTGTCTTCCCAGCAGCGTAGAGTGTGGGTCAACCCCCTGAACACTGGTGACCAGAAGCCAATGAGCGTTCATTGGTGACACTTCCTCTGCCAGAGGGTCCAAAGCAGTCCCTGCTGAGTCACAGAAACTTCTAATCCACAGTCTCCCTGGGGTTGACTGTTCGGAGGACTTGTACTTGTGTCGCTAGACTTTTGCCTGAGGTCAGGATTCTTTTTCTTTTTCTTTTTCTTTCTTTTTTTTTTTTTTTTGAGACGGAGTTTCGCTCTTGTTGCCCAGGCTGGAGTGCAATGGCGCCATCTCGGCTCACCGCAGCCTCCGCCTCCTGGGCTCAGGCAATTCTCCTGCCTCAGCCTCCTGAGTAGCTGGGATTACAGGCACGCGCCACCACGCCCAGCTAGTTTTTTTTTGTATTTTTAGTAGAGACAGGGTTTCACCATGTTGACCAGGATGGTCTCGATCTCTCGACCTCGTGATCCACCTGCCTCGGCCTCCCAAAGTGCTGGGATTACAGGCTTGAGCCACCGCGCCCGGCCAGGATTCTTTTTCTTCAGTGCCGCAGTCCCGCTGTGCCCATTTTATCAGGCAGTGCAGACACATTGGGCCGTGAGTGCCACCATCACCCTCCCACTCCACGGCACCTGGCTGACCTGCCATCCACACCGTGGCAGTGCTGCTACTCAACCCAGCCCTACCTGGCATGGCCTGACTGAGCTGCCGCTGCTGCCCCCGGCCACCCAGAGCCACCAGCAAGTTTGAAGCAGGCTCAGGGTACACAGCACTGCCTCTTCTTCCTCTTCTTCCCATTTCTCCACCACTTGGAGATGCTGCTGTCGCCACCCGAAGCAGCCCTGGTGCCAGGGCTGAAGCCGTGGGCTTCCTGAGCACCTCTTGGCAGGTCCCCACTTCCATTTTTCCCACCGTGTGGGTAACAGAGTGGCAGAGGAGTGCATGTCACTTTCTGGTTGTAATTCTTTCTCTACTTGGTGCACTTACTTCCAGAAGGCAGCTGAGCCTCTGTAGCCAGGTGGACAGCTCACAGCAGAGGCCAGTCTCTCCCCACGACCAGACGCTGGGCTTCCATCGTCAATTCCCTGCCCGGCCAGTCAAGCCTGTTGGGCCTTTTGGAGCATCTGTGGTCCCGGGGGAGCCTGCAGGCACCTCGCCAGCGGCCCACAGGGAAGCCCACACGGACCCCCACCGGCATCCCGGCGTCCTGGCGGCCTCCTCTTTCCCTAGCCCATTTCTTTGGAATCTTACTGGGTGTGCCAACTGTTTCCTCCCATCAAACCCTTAGCCGGAGTTGTCCCAGAAGTGGCTGCAGGGAGGTTCCCGCAAGGGAGTGCCCCAAACTGTCCTAAGATGGGACCAAGAAACATTCCAAATAAATAAACACGGAATCCCAGGGTTGTCAGTCCAAAGCGCCAGGGGAATTCGCTTACAAAGTGCTCCAGCAACCCTCACCGTGCACAGTGAGAGGAAAGAGATGTCCTACCCAGATACATTTGCAGCTAAGGGATCAAGATTATTTGTGAATCCAGAAAACTCAACAAAGTCTTAGTAGGATAAACACAAGGAGGCCCACATTGAGATACATTACAGCCAAACTGTCAAAAGACAAGGCAGGGCGGGGCCTGTCGCTCATGCCTGTAATTCCATCATTTCAGGGGGCCAAAGCAGGCAGATTGCTTGAGGCCAGGAGTTTGACACCAGCCTGGGCAACATGGCAAAACCCCTTGATATTTGTGCTAAAAATACAAAGAAATAAGCTGGGTGTGGTGGCACATGCCTGTAGCCCCAGCTACTTTGGAGGCTGCAATAAGAGAATCAACTGAACCCAAGAGACAGAGGTTGCAGTGAGCTGGGATCACATCACTGCACTCCAGCCTGGGTGACAGAGCAGGACTTTGTCTCAACAAAAAAAAAGTGAGAATCTTGAAAGCTTAGAGAAGAGCAACTCTCGCAGACAAGGGATTCGGATGACACTAGCAGCTGATTTCTCAGTAGAAACCTCGAAGTCCAGTAGGCAGTGGATTACACATTTAAAATAATGAAGAAACCTCTCAGTTGGGAAATCTATAGCTGGAAAACGTGTCCATCAAAAATGAGGGAGAAATTAAGACATTTACAGATTTTTTTAAGCTGAAAAAGAAAATTCTTTCTAAATGTGCTATACAGGAAGTGTTAAAGGAAGTCCTTCAGGTTAAAATAAATGAACTCTAGGCATTAACTGTATAAATAAATAAGCCAGCTATATGTATATAAAAAGCCCTCTGGTAAAGGTAAATACATAAAGAAACATAAAAACAGTATTATTGTAATTATGGTTTGTAACTCCGCTTTTTATTTTCTTCAGGATTTGAAAGACAAAGGCATAAAATGTAATTATAAATCTGTTAGGTGGTATACAATGAATAAAGATATAATTTGTTAATAACATAAAAAGAGTAGAGCGTTCTGAAGGGTGACAAAAAGACCAGAAAAAATAAAAAAAATTAAAAACAAAGAGTAGAGCTATATAGCTGCAGAATTTTTGTATGTGATTAAAGTTAAGTTGAAATAAATTCAGATTAGAATATTATAACTCTAGGATGTTAGACATAATTCTCATAGTAACCAAAACCTAAATATACATCGAGTATACACAAAAGGAAATGAGAATAGAAACAAAACATGTCACTACAAAAAAAAATCAACAAGAGATAAAAGAAGTAAATTATTGAGAAAATGACTGCCAAAAATCAGGAACTCTAACTTATTAAAACTTTCCATGCTACATAAATCTGGAAACTCTTATTTCACATAAAACTGAAGCTGAAAGAGACAAACAACTATTTATTTATAAATTTAAAAGTTATATGGGAAACAAACGTTAATTTTTTAAGAAAAAAATTATGAAAACAGTTAAAATGTGCCTCATAGTATCATATAATATGTTTTATAGCTTTGGGAAGATAGAAAACAAAGTTTTGTTAGCATGAACCCTTCTGTGCCCTAAAAATCCCTATGGATTATACCATTATTACCTAAAAGATCTATTCTAAATGCAGCAAAGTGACAATGTTTACAAAGTAGATATTATTTTTAGATATGGAATAATATTGGTGATTTCAATTTTAATAACATTTGATTGAGATGAAAAAATGAGAAGGTAAAAGTTCCTCAGCAATATAACTCAACATGTTCAAAAGCAGTAAGAAGTTACATTAATTATCTTTTGAAAGTCAATAATCTACATTTTTAATTTATGCATATGGTATAGCTAACATACTATCACTGGGTTCATTGATTCAACAAATAATTGCTGCTATGTGACAGACATTGTTCTAGGCCTAGAAACTGATACATACATGAACAGAGCAAAGATTCTGGTTCTTGTAAAGTTTCTATTAAAAGATCATTTAGTAACCTGTTTCTTCTTCCCAATTATAAAATCTGTAAGATGATTTAGCAATATGTATAAAAGTCATCGTCAGCTGGGCACGGTGGGTCATACCAGGTGTGGTGGCTCACGGCGCTCTGTCACCCAGGCTGGAGTGCAGTGGTGCCATCTCTGCTCACTGAAACTTCTGCCTCCCGGGTACAAGCCATCTTCCTGCCTCAGCTTCCCAAGTAGCTGGGACCACAGGTGTGCACCACCATACCCAGCTAATTTTTATATTTTTAGTAGAGATGGGGTTTCCCCAAGTTGGCCGGGCTATTCTCGAACTCCTGACCTCAGGTGATCTGCCCACCTTGGCCTCCCAAAGTGCTGGGATTATAGGTGTCAGCCACTATACTCAGCTAGGAGTTCACACTTTAGTTGGGAAAAATATACAATAAGCAAACCAATTTTTAAAATGAGAACTGCAATCAGAGTTAAATGCTACAGAGGCAAATCTCACAGGAAGATGGGATGTAGAAGGCCAGGGCTCTCAAACGACAGAGTCGTAAGAGAAATTATTTCTTGCGATCTTTGTCTTTCTTTGTATTGGTGCTTAGCTGAGTCTGCAGTGCTTCGGAGGCAGCCTTCGTTTTATAAAATTCTATTATTTCTCCCTCCAGCTGTTTTTTCTCTTCTTCGAGCTTCTTTATCTCCTCCTGTTGAATCACTTTAAGATGCTCAAACTTGTCCTGCAGCTGTGAAACGAATGTGCAGTTGTGACACCAGAGCACAGTGTGGCTGAACACCCCAAAACTGTGCTTTTTTGCATTATCAAACAAACCCCCATCATCGGAGTACAGCATGATCTTAAAAACGATCTCAAACACTCATGAGCAAACACTCAGATATGGAATTTTTCTTTTCTTTTTTTCTTTTTTTTTTTTTTTTTTTTTGAGATGGAGTTTCGCTCTTGTTACCCAGGCTGGAGTGCAATGGCGCGATCTCGGCTCACCGCAACCTCCGCCTCCTGGGTTCAGGCAATTCTCCTGCCTCAGCTTCCTGAGTAGCTGGGATTACAGGCACGCGCCACCATGCCCAGCTAATTTTTTGTATTTTTAGTAGAGACGGGGTTTCACCATGTTGATCAGACAGAGTTCTGCACTTTTTCTTTTCTTTTGACATGGAGTTTCAGTCTTGTTGCCCAGGCTGGAGAGCAATGGCATGATCTCGGCTCTGCAATTTCTGCCTCCTGGGTTCAAGCGATTCTTCTGCCTCAGCCTCCTGAGTATCTGGGATTGCAGGCGCGTGCCACCACATCCAGCTAATTTTGTACTTTTAGTAGAGATGGAGTTTCTCCATGTTGGTCAGGCTTGTTTCGAACTCCCAGTATCAGGTGATCCGCCCACCTCAGCCTCCCAAAGTGCTAGGATGACAAGCATGAACCACTGTACCAGCCGCTAATTTATAAAATGTTTTTTTCTGTAGAGATGGGGATCTCTCTATATTGACAAGGCTGGTTTCAAACTGTTGGCCTCAAGTGATCCTCCCAACCCTGCCTCCCAAAGTGCTGGGATTACGGTACTGAGCCACCCCACTCAGTCCATAGTTTTAGCCCATAATTTTCTTTTTTCTTTTTTTTTTTGAGACGGAGTTTCGCTCTTGTTACCCAGGCTGGAGTGCAATGGCGCGATCTCGGCTCACCACAACCTCCGCCTCCTGGGTTCAGGCAATTCTCCTGCCTCAGCCTCCTGAGTAGCTGGGATTACAGGCATGCGCCACCATGCCCAGCTAATTTTTTGTATTTTTAGTAGAGACGGGGTTTCACCATGTTGACCAGGATGGTCTCGATCGCTTGACCTGGTGATCCACCCGCCTCGGCCTCCGAAAGTGCTGGGATTACAGGCTTGAGCCACTGCGCCCGGCCTAAGAGTGGATATTTTTAAATGAGACACTAAGACCTGGGTTTTGGGCCGGGCGCGGTGGCTCACACCTGTAATCCCAGCACTTTGGGAGGCAGAGGCAGGTGGGTTACGAGGTCGGGAGTTCGAGACCAGCCTGGCCAACGTGGTGAAACCTGTCTCTACTAAAAATACAAAAATTAGCTGGGCGTGGTGGCAGGCACTTGTGATCTCAACTACTCGGGAGGCTGAGACAGGAGAATCGTTTGAACCTGGGAGGTCGTGGTTGTAGTGAGTCAAGATGGAGTCATTGCACTTCAACCTGGGTGACAGGGTAAGACTTTGTCTCAAAAAAAAAAAAAAAAAAGGTAGGGATAAGTTTCTTTACTTGGGTCTGAGGAGTGATTTTTTGAATACAAACTCCAAAGTGCAGACAACATGGGCAAACGTGGACAAACAAAATTTTATCAAACTAAAAGCTCCTGCACATCCAAAGGAAAAAAATAAAGAAACAAATTATGAAATCTGAGAAAATATTTGTGAGCCATACATCTGATAAGGGGTGAATGCCCACAATATATAAGAACTCAAACATTTCAATAGTATGAACACAATCTCATTCTGAAAACTGGCAAAGAACTTAAACTTTCTTTTTTAAAATGGAGTCCACCTCCCAGGTACAAGCGGCTCTCCTGCCTCAGCCTCCAGATTAGCTGGGACTACAGGTGTGAGCCACCACATCCAGCTACGTTTTTGTATTTTTAATAGAGACAGGGTTTCACCATGTTGGTCAGGCTGGTCTCGAACTCCTGACCTCAAATGATCCACCCACCTCAGCCTCCCAAAGTGCTGGGACTACAGGAGTGAGTCACTGTGCCTGGCCGAACCTGAACATTTTTAAAAATAAGATATAAAAGGCAAATAGGGGTATAAAAAAATATTCAGCATCATTACTCATGAGAGAAATGCCAATTACAGCCACAATTAGATAGTACCTCATATCTGTTACAATGGCTACTACCAAAAAAAAAGAAAGATAAGTGTTTATAAGAATGATTTTATAAAATGTTGATAAAAATGTAAATTAGGACAGATACTGTTTTTAAAAATCTGGGAATTCATTAAACAATTGAAAATAGAATAACCATATGGTTCAGCAACCCCACTAATAGTTACATAGTCAAAGGAAATAAAATCAAATTGTGAAAGAGATACCTACACTCTCATATTCATTGCAGCATTAGTTGACAATAATGAAGATATGTAATCAACACTAAGAGAACACATAGTTGAGATACGGAAAAGAAACTAATATCCAGAAAGAAAAAAAAGAAGCAGACATACAAGAATAAGGTTCAGAGCCGGGCGCGGTGGCTCAAGCCTGTAATCCCAGCACTTTGGGAGGCCGAGGCGGGTGGATCACGAGGTCAAGAGATCGAGACCATCCCGGTCAACATAGTGAAACCCCGTCTCTACTAAAAATACAAAACATTAGCTGGGCATGGTGGCGCGTGCCTGTAATCCCAGCTACTCAGGAGGCTGAGGCAGGAGAATTGCCTGAGCCCAGGAGGCGGAGGTTGTGGTGAGCCGAGATCGCGCCATTGCACTCCAGCCTGGGTAACAAGAGCGAAACTCCATCCAAAAAAAAAAAAAAAAAAGAAAAAAAGAATAAGGTTCATAACTAAGGGAAGCGGGGTGCAGGAGAAAGAGAAAATTTAAATGGCTGCTCTGGTTTCTGGCCACTTCCGAGTCTCGGTTTAAGTCTTCATGAGACCCAGCTATGCCATGACATACCCTTGTATACATCCAGACTTTCCCTTTATACCTAAGCTAATGATTTTTTTTTTTTTTTTTTTTTTTTTTTGAGATGGATCTCACTGTCACCCAGGCTGGAGTGCAGCTTCACGATCTCAGCTCACTGCAACTCCTGCCTCCTGAGTAGCTGGGATTACAGGTGTGCACCACCATGGCCTGCTTATTTTTCTATTTTCTGTTGAGACAGGTTTCACCGTGGTGGCCAGGCTAATCTTGAACTCCTGACCTTAGGTGATCCACCCTCCTCAGCCTCTCAAAGTGCTGGGATTATAGCCTTGAGTCACTGAGCTTGGCCAAAATTTTTATTACTTATAATTCATCTGTCTCTGAGTGAGACATCTGGCCTATAGCACCTAATTACCATTTTGTTTTTATGAAAAAGCAAGTTTATGTTCCAGTGTATCTAATAAAACTAAATATTCTTCAACTAAAGCCACCTACACTTGAGAGAAAGAAACTATGGTTTCAAAAGTATGTTTTCACCAAAAATATATCTGTGGCAAATAATTAAAATTATACTAATAGCCTTCTTTTCTATTTTATTAGAAATGGCATGGAATAAAATATATACGTAATTTACCAACTTAAAATTTTCTCATTAATTAAGGCAAGCATTAGTGAACATTTGCTTATTTATAAAAGTGAAGACAATTTTCTAGTGCATTAATAGCATTAGATAGTACGAGACTCTTCTCAGATGTAATAGCTTGGGTTTGTCACAAATTAAACTTTATGCATAAAAGTTTATTTTATAAATTAAATACATTTTTATGAAACTAACAAGAGTTATTTAAAGGGAAAATTTTCCAACTGGTCTAGAAAAAAAAAACAAAACTGCAGACTGTAATTTTGTAAAGGCTATATTCAAATCTACATGTAAAAAGCTACTTTTTGAAAACCAGCAAGTATCCTCCAAAAACATCAACTAAACTCTCAAGATTAAAACCCCCAAATTAATAGGGCACCTAAAAATTAACACACATTATATCAAACTGTCAGTACTGACCTCTTTTTCAGCTTCTTTAAATGTTGCTTCTTTCTCCTTGACTCGCTGCATAAATTTCTGTTTCAACTCCTCTTCTTCCCTCTGACATTGATCATAGAACTCTTGTCTTTTGGCTTCAAAGATTTCTTGAAAACTAAAGAGAAATGTTTTCTTAGTCTTATATTAAAATGAAGTAGGAGAATCACTTGAACCCGGGAGATGGAGATTTCAGTGAGCCAAAATTGCGCCACTGGACTCCAGCCTGGGAGACAGAGCAAGACACCATCTCGAAAAATAAAAATAAAATAAAATAAATGCTAGTATAAACATGTAAAAATATATATTGTATGTTACATCTTTTTTTTTTTTTTTGAGACGGAGTTTCGCTCTTGTTGCCCAGGCTGGAGTGCAATGGCGCGATCTCGGCTCACTGCAACCTCTGCCTCCTGGGTTCAGGTAATTCTCCTGCCTCACCCTCCTGAGTAGCTGGGATTACAGGCACGTGCCACCATGCCCAGCTAATTTTTTGTATTTTTAGTAGAGACGGGGTTTCACCATGTTGACCAAGATGGTCTCGATCTCTTGACCTCGTGATCCACCCGCCTCGGCCTCCCAAAGTGCTGGGATTACAGGCTTGAGCCACCGCGCCCGGCTGTTACATCTTATATAAGGAAATTTGCCAACGGGATCTCATGTTTAGCAACACAAAATGGAAATTTCTATATCATAAGATGTAAAAACTGGCACAGTATTTAAGATCAGAGTATATAGAGAGTACATGCAAAGAATTTTCCAACGCTTATATGAGTGAATTCTCATCCCCACATTTTCCAGCATGTCATATATTTCTTCACATCTTTTGACAATAAAATTCAGGGAAACATTGTCAAAATTTAAATGAGAGACGATTTTCAAAATCACCTAAAATAAAGCAAACAGTCTTTCAAAATATCGTTATCATTCATTTACGATAGTTAAATTTTGGGTCTGCAAAGAACAATTAATGATATAACTGGATTATAATCACTGTAGTGACATAGTGTATATAATAGTGACACAAGTCCCTTTTCTTTCTTTCGTTTTGTTCTTTTGAGACAGGGTCTAGCTCTGTTGCCAGGCTGGAGTGCAGTGGCACAACCTCAGCTCATTGCAACCTCCACCTCCCAGGTTCAAGCGATTCTCCTGCCTCAGCTTCCTGAGTAGCTGGGATTACAGGTCCCCACCACCATGCCCGGCTAGTTATTTTTGTATTTTTAGTAGGGACGGGGTTTCGCCATGTTGGCCAGGCTGGTCTTAAAACTGTTGACCTCAGGTGATCTGCCTACCTCCCAAAGTGCTGGGATTGCAGATGGGAGCCACTGTGCCAGGCTCTATTCTTCAAGATAGAGAAATACACATGCTCTCAGGCTTTTCTCACTTAACTTCCAGGACACTGCAGTACTGTTTTTCAGCTGGTTTCCCCATGAAACCCTTCTTAATATCTTTTGCCAAACTTTGCTAACATTTTTTCATCTTTTTCTTTTTCTTTTTTTTTTTTTTTTTGAGACGGAGTTTCGCTCTTGTTACCCAGGCTGGAGTGCAATGGCGCGATCTCGGCTCACCGCAACCTCCGCCTCCTGGGTTCAGGCAATTCTCCTGCCTCAGCCTCCTGAGTAGCTGGGATTACAGGCACGCGACACCATGCCCAGCTAATTTTTTGTATTTTTAGTAGAGACGGGGTTTCACCTTGTTGACCAAGGTTGGTCTTGATCTCTTGACCTTGTGATCCACCCGCCTCGGCCTCCCAAAGTGCTGGGATTACAGGCTTGAGCCACCGCGCCCGGCTCATCTTTTTCTTTATCCGTTCTTTCATATAAATACAAAAAATAAACGCCATGATGGTTTCTTCTTGGATGTACATTTCAGCATATACACATACTGAACACACGTATTTCAGGATGAAAATGAGACCCTGCAGTATATTGTTGCTACTCTCTCTCTTTGTCAAAAGATGACAAAAACACCTAACATTCAAGATGGTTCAGGATGGAAGAAGAGCAATTATTCTCTTACTCAAATCACTGTACCTGTGTTTAGGGAACTCCTAGATTATCCATTTGGTTGGGCTAGCAATATATTTTTTTTCTTTTTTGGGGGAGTGAGGGGCTCCAGTACTTGCCAGAGCTAGCAGTACGTTTACTCACCTAACTGGCTGGTTGTCGGGGCCCACGTCCGTGAAGCCCATTTTCTGCAGTTTTTGGTACCGGTAACATTCGTAGTGCTGAGTGTGGGTTTTTTCTTTTAGGTTTTCCATATTGGTACAAAGAAGCATATCTCGGAGCTTAATGAAGTCACAGTGATTTTCATTTTCCACTAGTAATAAAAAAAAATGAATCAACACCACTCATTATCAATCCCTGACAATCAGTAAGTGTTCATGAATGAATACGTGAATAAAAAACACATTTAAAATAACACAATTGATCAATTTGATTAATAGCTATGACTCTTTTAACTATGTAAATATGGTTGTATTATACATACCAACTATAGGCAGAGATTATAGGTTAGGAAATATGCTTTAAACTTACTACCTGAAGAATAAGCAAAAAATAGTGAAATAATATGTTACATGCATATATGCTATAGGTTTTTATGAACAATTGTGTTAATATGTTACAAACTACCCTCTGGGTATTTTGGAGTCCTAACAGAATATATAATATAACATCACTAATGTAAATAATTTTATCAAAGTAAATTCTGCTAGCAAAAATGCCTTACAATGGCAAATGCTTTAGTTATGAAATTCCATTTATATATTATATTTAGACACAGCATTAGTCAATATTCAAAATCAATCCATAAATTCACATAGCTGTTTTAATGATACATATAGACTGAAAGTGAAGACATGGAAAGATATTCCATGCAATTAGAAACTAAAAGAGCACAGATAGCTGTACTCCTATCACAGAAGATAGATTTTTAGTCAAAAACCGTAAAATGATATAGAAGGTTATCATATCATGATGAGGGATCCGTTCATTTTAAAACAATTGTAAATATTATGTATGGACCCAATATCAGAGCTTCTGAATATATAAGGCAAATAAGAGCAGACCTGAGGGGGACACAGACTGTAGTACAATAATAGCAAGGGAATTACATACCCTACTTTCAGAAATGGATAGATTATCCAGACAGATAATCAGTAAGAAAATGTCAGATTTAAACTACACTTTAGAGCAAATAGACCTAATGGACATATGTGGGATATTTCATCCAACAGCAATATAATATACATCTTTCTCAAATAAACACAAGACATTCTTCAGGAGAGATTATATGTTAGGCCACAAACTAAGTCTTAATATATTTTAAAAGACTGAAATAAAAATGTGAGTGCAGCCGGGCGCAGTGGCTCACGCCTGTAATCCCAGCACTTTGGGAGGCCGAGGCGGGTGGATCACGAGGTCGAGAGATCAAGACCATCCTGGTCAATATGGTGAAACCCCGTCTCTACTAAAAATACAAAAAATTAGCTGGGCATGGTGGCGTGTGCCTGTAATCCCAGCTACTCAGGAGGCTGAGGCAGGAGAATTGCCTGAACCCAGGAGGCGGAGGTTGCGGTGAGCCGAGATCGCGCCATTGCGCTCCAGCCTGGGCAACAAGAGCGAAACTCCGTCTCAAAAAAAAAAAAAAATGTGAGTGCAGATGTCTTTTGACAGATCAATGTCATTCCACCAGGGTACATCCCCAGAAGTGGCATTGCTGGATCACACGGTAATATTGTTTTTAGTTTTTGACGAACCTTCATATTATTTCCCAAAATGGCTGTACCAACTTAAATTCCCACCAGTGATGTTTAAGAATTCTCTTTTCTCTTGGGAACGTATATATACTGCTGGTGGGAATATGTTACTTCAGCCACTGTGAAAAGTAGTTTGACAGTTTCTTTTGGGGAAAGGATAAGCTCTTCAATAAATGGTGTTGGGAAAACTGGATATCCACATGCAGAAGAAAGAAACCAGACTTTTGTCTCTCACCACAAACTCAGATCAAAATAGATTAAAGATTTAAATGTACAGCCTCAACCTATGAAACTACACAAAATACACTGCGGAAACTCTTTACGACATTTATTAATACCCCACAAGCACAGGCCACGAAAGCAAAAATAGACAAATGGGATCATATCCAGTTAAAAAGCTGCTGCACCACAAAGGAAACAATCAACACAGTGAAGAGACAACCCACACAATGAGAAAACATGTGCAAACTGACAAGAGATTAATAACCAGAATGTGTATAAGAAGTTCACTCAATAAGAAAAAATCTAAGAATCCAATTTAAAATCGGCAAAAGATCTGAATAGACATTTCTCCAAAGAAGACATACAAACGTCTTCTTTTGTCTTATTGATAATAGTCGTTTTAACATGTGTGAAGTAACTGCTTATTGTGGGTTTTTTAAAATGGCAAACAGGCAAATGAAAAAGGTGCTGGGCAGGCTTAGTGGCTCACGCCTGTAATCCCAGCATTTTGGGAGGCCGAGGCAGGTGGATCACAAGTCAAGAGATCAAGACCATCCTGGTGAACGTGGTGAAACCCCGTCTCTACTAAAATTATAAAAATTAGCTGGGCATGGTGGCACGTGCCTGTAATCCCAGCTACTCGGGAGGCTGAGGCAGGAGAATTGCTTCAACCCAGGAGGCGGAGGCTGCAGTGAGCCAAGATGGCGCCATTGCACTCCAGCCTGGCACCTGGCAACAGAGTGAGACTCTGTCTCCAAAAAAAAAAAAAAAAGAAAGAAAAGAAAAAGGTGCTTAACATTACTGATTACCAGAGAAAGGCAAATAAAAACTACAATAAGATATCATCTCACCCCAGTTGGAAAAGCTTTTATCGAAAAGACAGGCAATAACAAATGCTGGTGAGGATGTGGAGAAGCAGGGGTCCTTGTACACTGTTAGCAGGAATGTCAATCAGCCCAGTCACTATGGAAAACAGTACGGAGTCTCCTCGAAAAACTAAAAATACAACTACCATATGATCCAGCAATCCCACTAATAGGGGAATCAAAGAGATAGCTCCACACGCATGTGTGTTAGAGCATTATTCACAGTACCCAAGATTTGGAAGCAACCTAAGCATCCATCATCAGATGAATGGACAAAGGAAATGTGGTACATATGCACAAGGGAGTACTATTCAGCCATGAAAAATGACATCTGTCATTTGCAACAACATGGATGGAACCAAGGACCTTATGTTAAGTGAAATAAGCAAGACACAGAAAGACAAACTTCACATGTTCTTACTCATTTGTGGAGCTTAAAATTAAAGCAATTGAACCCATGGGGATAGAGAGTGGAATGCAGATTACCAGAAGCTAGGAAATGACTGGGGCAGGAGAGAAGGGGGGATTGTTGATGGGTACAAATATATAGTCACATAGAATGAATAAGATCTAGTATTTGACAGCACACAGAGTGACTACAGTCAACAGTAACTTATTATACATTTTAGAATAACTAACACAGTGTAAGTGGATTGTTTGTGACACAAAGGATAGATTCTCTATTTACCCTGATGTGATTACTACACACTGAGTACCAGTATGAAAATATCTCATGCGGGGCGTGGTGGCTCACGCCTGTAATCCCAGCACTTTGGGAGGCCGAGGCAGGTGGATCATGAGGTCAAGAGATCAAGACCATCCTGGTCAACATAGTGAAACACTGTCTCTACTAAAAATACAAAAAATTAGCTGGGCATGGTGGCTCGTGCCTGTAATCCCAGCTACTCAGGAGGCTGAGGCAGGAGAATTGCCTGAACCCAGGAGGCGAAGGTTGCGGTGAGCTGAGATCACGCCATTGCACTCCAGCCTGGGTAACAAGAGCGAAACTCTGTCTAAAAAAAAAAAAAAGAAAAGAAAGAAAATATCTCATGTTCCCTACAAATGTATACACCTACTATGTATCCATGAAAATTAAAAATTAAAAGACACAGGCCAAGCGTGGCGGGTCACGCCTGTAATCCTAGCATTTTGGGAGGCCAAGGCAGGCAGATCACCTGAGGCCAGGAGTTCAAGACTAGCCTGACCAACATGGCAAAACTCTGTCTCTAATAAAAATACAAGAAAGTTAGCCAGGCATGGTGGTGCACACCTACAATCCCAGCTACTCAGGAGGCTGAGGCAGGAGAATTGCTTGAACCCGGGAAGTGGAGGTTGCAGTGAGCCAAGATCATGCCATTGCACTCCAGCCTGAGCAACAAAAGCCAAACTCCATCTAAAAAAAAAAATTAAAAACACAATAAGCTGTTACTTCGCCCATGCTAAAATGCCTATTATCAAGACAAGCAAATGCTGGTAAGGACATGAAAAAAAGGAACCCTTGCATACTGTTGGTGGGAATGTAAATTAGAAAAGCCATTATGAAAACAATATGGAGTTTCTTCAAAAAATTAAAAATAAAACTACCATATGATCCAGCAATCTCACTGCTGGGTATCTGCCTCCCAGAAATGAAGTCAGTATGTCGGAGAGATGCCTACAGTACCATTATTCACAAGAGCCAAGATATGGAATTAATCTACGTGTCCATGAATGGATGCATGAAGAAAAAAGGAGTGGCATATATATGCAATGGAATACTATTTTTCATCCTTAAAAACAAGGAAATCCTATCATTTGCAGCAACCTGAATGGAACTGGAGGAGTTTAAGTAAATAAGCCAAACACAGAAAGACAAATAGTAAATGATCTCACTAACACATCAAATCTTTAAAAGTTAAAACTTGGCCGGGTATGGTGGCTCACAACTGTAATCCCAGCACTTTGGGAAGCTGAGGCAGGTGGATTACGAGGTCAGGAAATTGAAACTATCCTGGCCAACATGATGAAACCCCATCTCTACTAAAAATACAAAAAATTAGCCAGGTATGGGTGCGTGTGCCTGTAGTCCCAGCTACTCGGGAGGCCGAGGCAGGAGAATCACTTAAACCCAAGAGGCGGAGTTTGCAGTGAACTGAGATTGCGCCACTGCGCTCCAGCCTGGTGGCAGAGCAAGACTCCATCTCAGGAAAAAAAAAAAAAAAAGTTGTAGAAACAGAAGAGAGTGGTGGTTACATGAGTTAGGTAGAGGGTATGGTAGGAGATGTTGGTCAAAGGATACAAAATTTTAGTTAGGTAAGAACAAGTTAAACAGATCTATTGTACACCACGGTGACTATGTTAATAACAATATATTCTCGAAAATTGCTAAGATGTTAAGTTTTCATCACAAAAATAATTGAGATAACACATATGTTAATGATATCAATTTAGTCACTCCACAATGTGTATGTATTTCAAAGCATCATGCTGTACATGATAAGTACATACAACTTTATTTGTCAATTAAGATTAACTAATTAATGAAAAATATTTTGTATGGCTCTCTCCTGTCTTTATCATGTCCAGAGGATTGATCATATGTGATTTATTGTGATTAATAGTGTGACCAAATTTTATGTATCAACATATATTATAGATATATGGCATATACTAATATGTTACACAACATATATAATAAATACTAAAACATTAAGTTTTAAGCAGTTTAACAAATTTTAAATTTTCTAATATGTCCATTTTTAAAAACATCATTTGGAGCTGGGGGCGGTGGCTCATGCCTGTAATCCCAACACTTTGGGAGACCGAGGCAGGTGGATCACCTGAGGTCAGGAGTTTGAGACTAGCCTGACTAATGAGGTAAGACCCAGTCTCTACTAAAAAATACGAAAATTAGCCATGGTGGCAGGCGCATGTAATCCCAGCTACTCAGGAGGCTGAGGCAGGAGAATCACTTGAACCTGGGAGGTGGAGGTTGCAGTGAGCCAAGATCACGCCACCGCATTCCAGCCTGGGCGACAAAAGCAAAACTCTGTCTCAAAAAACAAACAAACAACATCATTTGGAAACCAGTACAAGTAAATCTTCCATCCCCCAATAATTAGTACCACAAGTATATGAACAAGATAATAAATTATTGCTTACTACAATATCGTAACTCATTATGATGGTAAATAATAATATAAATGTCAAGGTATAATCTTTAGCCAAAGGGAAATTGTACTTTCTTGTTTTAAGAAATTTATCATTCTTTTTTCCAGTGACCAGTTTAAAATGGTTTATATATTAGGTAGTAATGAGTTTATGTAACATGTCTAAACACTAGTATATTTGCTTCAATATTGTTTAAAGTGCTTTCCAGCATTCTGAATGTTATGGTTTGTACAGAGACAGAAAGTATGCACATGGTGCCCTGGGGTCAACACAGAGGCCCTTCCCAGCCTCTGTAGATTTTGGCTTAAAGCAGCATTCAGCAAACTTCTATGACAATGAATCACAGTCATTAGTAAGTGATTAGTTTAAATAAACAGAGTTTTTGTTTCTCATTAGTAACTATTAACTTACAGATTAGCAAGAGTTACCAATATTAGCTCGTGAAAATATTATTTTGAGACTATGAATGACACATATACATTTCACTTAATCATTGCAAAGCCTGCCCTCTTTCATATTTACCTTGCAAAACTCCCCACGGATAGTGACGGCCTCTGACCATCCTTTTTCCAACTTTCACTTCCTCTGTACTGCCAACCACGGCGAAGGGTAACAGTCCCTAGAAAACAAGAATTATATAAATTAATAACAGAAGTGAGAGTAACAGCATAGCTTACTCCATTACTCTCACTACTGTTATAAAAATGACAGAGAGGGCCAGGCATGGTGGTTCGTGCCTGTAATTCCAGCACTTTCGGAGGCCAAGGTAGGCAGATCATGAGGTCAGGGGTTTGAGACCAGCCTGACCAACATGGTGGAACCCCATCTCTATTAAAAATACAAAGTTAGCCAGGTATGGTGACAGGCACCTGTAATCCCAGCAACTCCACAGATTGAGGCAGGAGAATCGCTGGAACCCAGAAGGCGGAGGTTGCAGTGAGCCGAGATGGTGCCATTGCACTCCAGCCTGGGTGTCAGAGTAAGACTCCATCTCAGAAAAAAAGACAGAGATGATGATACTGTAATAAATTTAATGAGACAGGGATCCACCCTGTGCCTCATTTTAAGGTGTGACAGTAACACATGCGATTGGTTTCTGTAAGCGTTAATCTCAGGCTGTGCACACAGTTGGAAAGTGTCTACTGCGCAGAGCCTAAACCAAGGTATCTGCTGCAGGAAACAAACACACAACATTTTTTTTTATTTTTTTGAGATAAAGTTTCCACTCTTATCATCCAGGCTGGAGTGCAATGGTGCGTTCTCTGCTCACGGCAAACTCCTCCTCCAGGGTTCAAGCGATTCTCCTGCCTCAGCCTCCCAAGTAGCTGGGATTGCAGGTGCGCACCACCACATCCGGCTAATTTTCATATTTTTAGTACATATGGGTTTCACCATGTTGGCCAGGGTGGTCTCGATCTCTTGACTTCGCAATCCACCTGCCTCAGCTTCCCAAAGTGCTGGAATTACGGGTATTAGCCACTGCGCCCAGCCAAGAAAAAAGATTTTTAATAGACATCATTTTTCTCACATCATCTATACCCTGAACCATCTTTACTCTGAATGTTGAAGAAATAACATGCAAATAACTTTTAACTCTGGTATAAAAGTTAAAAGATAAAAATATTGAAAATGACTACAACTATTATAATAATTAATGGATACACAATATAAAATATATTAATAAGCAATACTGTACACTAGAAGCTAAATCTCACCATTATGCAATATATATATTTGACAAATATGCACATATACCCTCTGAATCTAAAATAAAAAACTAAGGAAGTTTATACTAGTAAACACCTACATCTTTTTTAAAGAAGATCTCTGCCAGGCATAGTGGCTCATGCCTGTAATCCCAGCACTTTGGGAGGCCGAGGTGGGCAGATTGTCTGAAGTCAGGAGTTCAAGACCAGCCTGGCTAAAATTGAGAAACCCCATCTCTACTAAAAATATTTTTAAATTTAGCTGGGTGTGGTGGTGCACGCCTGTAGTCCCAGCTACTCGGGAGGCTGAGGCAGGAGGATTGCTTGAACTTGGGACGCGGAGGTTGCAGTGAGCAGAGATCACATCACTGCACTCCAGCGGCCTGGGCAGCAGAGGGAGACTCCATCTAAAAAAAAAAATCTCAAATCAACAACCTAACTTTACACCTAAAAAAAAAAAAAAACAGAAGGAAAGAGGAAAAAAAACCTAAACCAATAATTACCAGGAGGAAAAATAACAAAGATTAGAGCATAAAGAAATAAAATAGAGAATAAAAAGCATTTTAATTAGCCAGGCCCTGTGGCTCACGCCTGTAATCCCAGCACTTTTGGAGGTTGAGGCGGATGGATCTCTTGAGGTCAGGAGTTCCAGACCAGCCTGGCCAACATGATGAAACCCCGTCTCTACTAAAAATACAAAAATTATCCTGGTGTGGTGGCACACTCCTATAATCCCAGCTCCTTCAGAGACTGAGGCAGCAGAATCTCTTGAACCCAGCAGATGGCGGTTGCAGGGAGCAGAGATTGTCCCTCTGCGCTCCAGCCTGGGCAACAGAGTCAGACTATGTCTCAAAAAAAAAAAAAAAAATTAATAAATGAAGCCAAGAGTTGATTTGGAAAAAAAAAAATCAAAATCAAAGCCCTTACCTAGACTAACAATGAAAAGAGAGAATATGTTAATAATATAAGAAATGAAAGAGATGACATTACAACTGGTCTTACAGAAATAAACAGAATTATAAGGGACTATTATGAGCATTTATGCAGCGAGCAGTCTGACAACTTAGAAGAAATGGGGAAATTATTAGAAACATATAACCTACCAATACTGAAGAATAGAGAGCTTAAAGAGACCAATAACAAATAGAGAAACTAAATAAGTAATTTTTTAAACTGCAAAATATAGCCTAGACCAGATTACTTCATGGGTAAATTCTATCAAACTTTCAAATAAAATTTAATATAAAATATCCTCAAATTCTTAGAAAAAATAGAAAAAAGAAGTAACACCTTCAGAGTCATTTTATGAGACCTGCAAGTAAAATACACTTCTAAGAAGAAAATTGTAGGCCAAAATCCTTGAGGAACATGGTGTAGGAATTAAATCTAAATAAATCTGTTTGCAAGGAATCAATTTTCAGCAAAAGTTTTTCAAAATCAAAAAAATAAAAATTAGGCCGGGCGCGGTGGCTCACGCCTGTAATCCCAGCACTTTGGGAGGCCGAGGCGGGTGGATCACGAGGTCGAGAGATCGAGACCATCCCGGTCAACATGGTGAAACCCCGTCTCTACTAAAAATACAAAAAATTAGCTGGGCATGGTGGCGCGTGCCTGTAATCCCAGCTACTCAGGAGGCTGAGGCAGGAGAATTGCCTGAGCCCAGGAGGTGGAGGTTGCGGTGAGCCGAGATCGCGCCATTGCACTCCAGCCTGGGTAACAAGAGCGAAACTCCGTCTCAAAAAAAAAAAAAAAAAAAAAATTTCTCACACTGGATTCTGGATAAAAACTCATTTCTAGCCTATTTGTCTGAAGCTTACATTAGTTGAGGAGTTCGCTTGAGCAGTAGTTTCATCATCTGTTGGGAACTGATATATGTGGATGCCATTGCTAATCAGTTCATTCATTATCTTCCTCTTAAACGTCTGTAAATCATTTTTAGAAACGGTGTCTGCTTTGGCAATCAGTGGTATAATGTTCACCTATTAACAGAGAAGACAGATAAAACGTCAGCATCGAGGACTCATGGTTCATTCCGTAGTTTTTCTAGTCAAGCCCTCACAATCTCTGACAACAAATTGTGTAACTAGATCATCACTGGCTGTCATGACTTCATTAAAAATTATTTTCCAGAATTATCAGTACTTTCGAAGATTCACCTTTTATCCAAATTCAGGCTTAGAAGTCTCAACCTTGTTTCTCTTTAAAAATCTCTTACACCTCTACAAATATGGACAGAGTAAAATGTAAATAGTAGGACAATGTAAGTTATTTAATTTATCTTCAATTTTATTTCTTATTAAACTGAGTAATAAAAGACACTGAAAGACCTTTCATCAACATTGTGGAAGGGATTTTGTCTTCTACTTTTTACATCACTTTTTCATCAATCAATCTTAATTAATGTCCCATTTTCACATACTTTTGCCCCACCTAGGTGTGTTTGCAGATAGATTCGCTTTTGTTTTCCAAAGACCATCTAAAAAGAACACCGATATTTTGGGTTACCATATTCTTTTTTTTTTTCTTTCTTTTTTTTTTTTTTTTTTTTTTTTGAGACAGAGTTCCCCGGTTCTGTCACCCAGGCTGGAGTGCAATGGCACAAGCTAGGCTCAGGCTCACTGCAACCTCCACCTCCAAGGTTCAAGCAAGTCTCCTGCCTCAGCCTTTTGAGTAACTGGGATTATAGGCACCTGCCACCACGCCCGGCTAATTTCTGTGATTTTAGTAGAGACAGGGTTTCACCATGTTGGCCAGGCTGCTCTCAAACTCCTGGCCTCAGGTAATCAGCCCACTTCAGCCTCCCAAAGTGATTGGATTACATTAGTGAGCCACCGCACCCGGCCTGGTTATCTTATTCTAAAGCCTGTGTGTGTGTGTGTGTGTGTGTGTGTGTGTGTGTGTGTAAGAGCAACTTGCAAATAAATATGTTTATTTTTCTTTTGTAAAAAGACTTTATTTCCACGTTGGAAGTTGAGTTTTTGCGTATTTGAGGTTGAATTTTTACCCACAAAGATTTTTCCTAGTGCTTCAATATGATCCCTCCTGTTACTGAAGCTTACGTTAATTGAGGAGTTTTGCATTTGCACTTAAATAACAAAACTTTTTAGAAAATAACAATATACAAGATTATAAAATGTTTTATTACTGTTAAAATATCTTATTAAATTACAGCGCCACAAAATCAATATCTGTAACATAGTAGAAATACATAAATATAAATTTTAGGCAGACTTTTTTTTGTTTTAGATTGCTCAAAGCACATCTTTTAAAAAATCCATGGACAGGCCAGGCACAGTGTCTCATTCCTGTAATCCCAGTACTTTGGGAGGCCAAGGTGGGTGGATCACCTGAGGTCAGGAGTTCAAGACCAGCCTGGCCAACATGGTGAAATCCCATCTCTACTAAAAATACGAAAACTAGCTGGGGGTGATGGCAGGCACCTGTAATCCCAGCTCCTCGGGAGGCTGAGGCTGGAGAATTGCTTGAACCCAGGAGGTTAAGGTGTCAGTGAGTGAGGTCGTGCCTCGGCAACATAGCTGCATTCCAGCTTGGGTGACAGAGACTGTCTCAAAAAAGGAAAAAAAGTAATGGAAACTTCCTATGTCAATAATTCCTCAGATGTTCAGATTTAAGGGGAAAGGCATTCATTGCAAGAAGAACTGACCAACTTGATAAAGAAGACAGCCGCGTGCAGTGGCTCACTCCTGTAATCCCAGCACTTTGGAAGGCCATGGCGGGCGGGTCACCTGAGGTCGGGAGTTCGAGACCAGCCTGACTAACAAGGTGAAACCCCATCTCTACTAAAAATACAAAATTAGTCAGGTGCGGTAGCACCACACCTATAATCCCAGCTACTCAAGAGGCTGAGGCAGGAGAATCACTTGAACCCGAAAAGCAGAAGTTGCAGTGAGCCACGATAGCACCACTGCATTGCAGCCTGGGAAAAAAGAGTGAAACTCTGTCTCTAAAAAAAAAGAAGAAAAGAAAAAGAAAAAGACAAGCAGGACATGGTGACTCTTGCCTGTAATCTCAGCACTTTGAAAAGCTGAGTCTAGCAGATCACTTGAGCCCATGAGTTTCAGACCCACCCTGACACTATCGCAAGACCCCCGTCTTTACAAAAAATTAAAAATCAACCAGGCATACAGGCACATGCCTGTGGTCCCAGCTACTTGAGGCTAACGTGGGAGTATCCCTTGAGCCAGGAAGGTTGAGGCTGCCATGAGCCTTGTTCATGCCACTGCACTCTAGCCTGGGCAACAGAGTGAGACCTTGTCTCAAAAAAAGGAAAAAGAAAAACACAGTAGCCACATACTCTTGCCTACCTCTTTATGTAATGTTCTTTGTGAAAATTAGAGATTTTTATATCTGGAAAACGGCTAGATGATAACAGGTAACCATGAAATTAAGGGTGTGTATTCCTGACTATTGAATGTCTTACTAATTAAGAACTTGAAGCAGCTCTTAATTTAACTAGAAATCTAATTTATTTCAACTACTTCATGACATCTGAGATAAAGTACAAAGTATCTTTTCAGTTTGAACAATACATAGAAGTTGATACTCCTCAGATAAAGGAAACCCAACTTAAAACCTTTTCTCTCTAAAACTAAATAAAGTTGAAGGCTAAAGTTGTCTTCAACTAAGTAAAGTTGAAGACAGCATGTTTTATTAGAGCTAAATGCAGAAAAGAAACCGATAATATGACAATTTCCTTTATATGTATATTGGCCCTCGAGTTTTACAAAAGAAGACATACTTTTAACCCTTTTTTTGAGAGAGGGAGGGTCTTGCTCTGAGGCCCTGTCTGCAGTGTGGTGGCACAATCACGGCTCACCGCAGCCTCAACCCCCAACGCTGAAGCGATCCTCCCACGTCAGCCTCCTGAGTAGCCGGGACTGCGTGCTGTCATGTCTGGCTATCTTTTTTTTTTCTTTGTAGAGACCAGGGCCTCACTATGTTGTTCAAGCTGGTCTCCAACTTCCAGGCTCAGGCAATCCTCCCTCCTCAGCTTCCCAAAGTGCTGGGATTACAGGCATGAGCCACCATGTTTGGCCCTTCTAAATTTTTTATGAAAAATAATTTTAGACTTATGGAAGACTTGCATGAAGATTACAGAGAAAAAATTGAGGCATCATCATTTTCCCAAGGCCTCAGCTAGCAAGTAATAAAACCGGGTTTGTGAAAGCAGGCAGCCTGAACCCACTGCCCATGCTTTTTTTTTTTTTCTTTTTTTTTTTTTGAGATGGAGTTTGGAGTTTTGCTCTTGTTGCCCAGGCTTAAGTGCAATGGCGTGATCTCGGCTCACTGGAAACTCCACTTTCCCCGCATCCCCGGGTTCAAGCAGTTCTCCTGCCTCAGCCTCCAGGGTAGCTGGGATTACAGGTACCTGCCACCATGCCTGGCTAATCTTGCATTTTTCACTAGAGATGGGGTTTCACCATGTTGGCCAGGCTGTTCTCGAACTCCTAACCTCAGGAGATCCACCCACCTCGGCCTCCCAAATTGCAGGGATTACAGGCATGAGCCACCATGCCCGGCCCTGCCCATGCTTTTAATCACAGAAAGTTCTTTTTTTTTTTTGAGACGGAGTTTCGCTCTTGTTACCCAGGCTGGAGTGCGATGGCGCGATCTCGGCTCACCGCAACCTCCGCCTCCTGGGTTCAGGCAATTCTCCTGCCTCAGCCTCCTGAGTAGCTGGGATTACAGGCACGTGCCACCATGCCCAGCTAATTTTTTTGTATTTTTAGTACAGACGGGGTTTCACCATGTTGACCAGGATGGTCTCGATCTCTCGACCTCGTGATCCACCCACCTCGGCCTCCCAAAGTGCTGGGATGACAGGCTTGAGCCACCGCGCCCGGCCTTAATCACAGAAAGTTCTGAACATTTTTCCCAAGGTCACAGACACCTAGCAAGTGATAAAGCAAATACTCAAAAGCCGCTTCCACTAACAAGTCCTGAGACCTTTATATATACAAAAATTAAAATTCCTTCTGTATGGATAAAACTACAACGTTGCATGTTTTGGGTTTCATAGACATTCAACAGACTGATTTTCTGTGCAATCAAACTGAACTACAAAAAAACTACTGAATAATTAGAAAACTGAAGCGAATGAGCAGAGTCTCGTATCAGTTTTGAGATTTTGCTGAAACCACGGGGCTTAAGTGGCCTGTTGAAAGGAAATCCGCATGTATCCCAAGTTTCGCCTGGAAAGAATTAAGCTTTTCTCAGCTGTTACTGTATAACAAGCCTTGCTGCCTGCAGGTTCTTGTATTCCGAATCCTCTCAGATGGGATCTGCAGCCAGGATCACAAACGCCCCCCGTTTCACACCATCCCCTGTTATCCACAGTTTCTCCTTCTTTTTTACTTTTTTCCTTCCTTTCCTCCCTCCCTTCCTTCCTTCCCTTTGCTTCCCTTGTCTCTCTTCCTCTCTCTCCTTCCCCCTCCCCTTCCCCTCCCCTCCCCCTCCTCCTCCCCCGCCCCTCCCCTGCCCCTCGCCCTCCACACCCCTCCCCCACCCCATCCCTCCCCTTCCCTCTCCCTCCCCTTCCCTCTCCCTCCTTTTTCTTTCAACATGCACTTGATCTATTGCCCAGGTTGACATTATCTTGGCTCACAATAGCCTTGAACTCCTGGGCTCAGGTGATCCTCCAACCTCAGCCTCCCAAGTAGCTGGGACTACAGGTACACACCACCGTGCCTGGTGGCTAATTTTTGTATTTGTTTTTTGTAGAGATGGGGTCTCACTACATTGCCCAGTCTAGTCTTGAACTCCTGAGCTCAGGTGATCTTCCTGTTTCAGCCTCCCAAGGTGCTAAATTACAGGCAGGAGCCACAGAGCCCAGCCGTTTCACTTTCCGTAATTTCCCATAATCAACAGCAATCCAAAAAGAATAAATGAGAAATTCTAGGACTACGTAATGTACAAATTTTAAATTGCATGTCATTCTAAGTATTATGATGAAATGTCAAGTTGACCGACTCCATCTCAGCCTGGATATGAATTATCCCACTATTTGCCTCATTTTATCTCTATGTAGGCATCGTATTATCTCAGATCATCATAAGAAGAGTGAGACAGTACAATAAGATATTTTGAGGCTGGGTATGGTAGCTCAGGCCTGTAATCCCAGCACATTGGGAGACCGAGGCAGGTGAAACACTTGAGGTTAGGAGTTCGAAACCAGCTTGGCCAACATGGCAAAAACTTGTCTCTACTAACAGTACATAAATTAGCCAGGCGTGGTAGTGAGCACCTGTAATCCCAGCTACTTGGGAGGCTAAGGCAGGAGAATTGCTTGAACGAAGAAGGCAGAGTTTTCAGTGAGCTGAGATCGTACCACTGCATGCAGCCTGTTCAACAAGAGTAAAACTCAAAAAAAAAAAAAAAAAAAAAGATACTTCGAGAGACACAGACAATATTCACATAACTTTTAATACAGTGTATTTTTATAATTGTTCTATTTTATTATTAGGTACTATTGTTAGCTTCAGTCTTCATCTAAGAAACCAACAATAGTGACTAATAATAAAAGAAAACTGCATCTCATTTATAAATAAAACTTTATCATAGGTAAGTATGCACAGAAGAAAGCATAGCAGGCCGGGCGTGGTGGCTCACGCCTGTAATCCCAGCACTTAGGGAGGCCGAGGCAGGCGGATCACAGCGTCAGGAGATCAAAACCATCCTGGTTAACATAGTGAAATTCCACCTCTATGAAAAATACAAACAAGAAAAGTTAGCCAGGTGTGGTGGCATACACCTGTAATCCCAGGTACTTGAGAGGGTGAGGCAGGAGAATTGCCTGAACCCAGGAGACAGAGGTTGCAGTGAGCTGAGATTGTGCCACTGCACTCCAGCCTGGGTGACAGAGTGAGACTCTATCCCAAAAAAATAAAAGGGAAAAGAAAAAAGAAAAGAAAAAAGCATCGTATGTATCAGGCTCTGTATCATGCATGGTTCCAGGCATTCACTGGGGGTCTTGGAACTTAGCCCCAAGGGGGCTACTCTAGGCAAATGGTCATGATCTCAAAGGTTAGTCAAGGTTGAAATCTATCAGATATGAATTGTCTCCCCCTGCAACCAAAAAATTTATATGTTGAAGCCCAAACGTGCTACCTCAGAATGTGACTTTAACTGAGATAAAGCCTTCATAAAGATGACTAAAAAGTGAGACCGAGCAAGGTGCGGTGGCTCCCATCTGTAATCCCAGCACTTTGGGAGGCCGAGGTGGGCAGATCACCTAGGATCAGGAGTTCAAGACCAGCCTGGCCAACATGGTGAAACCCCATCTCTACTAAAAATACATAAATTAGCCAGGCGTGGTGGTGCGCGCCTGTAATCCCAGCTACTCAGGAGACGGAGGCAGGAGAATCACTTGAACCTGGGAGGCAGAGGTTGCAGTGAGCCGAGATCGCGCCACAGCACTCCAGCCTGGGCATCAACAAAAAAAAAAAAAAAGAAAAAATGAGACTGTTACGGTGGATCCCAAGCCAAACTGACTGGCGCCCCTAAAAGACAAAATGTGGACACCCAGGAGACACCAGGAGAAATGCCATGTGAGAGCACAGAGATAAGGCGGTCGTCTGCCCGAAAGAAAAGAGATTTCAGAAGAAAGCACATCTTCTGACATGTTGATCTTCTAGCTTCTGAGACTGTGAGGAAATAAATTTCCTTTGTTTAAACCACCCAGTCTATGGTATTTTGCTATGCTAGCCCTAACACACTAATGCAAATGCCTTAAATATTAACAGAAAAAAAATTAGGACATATACATATATTACAAAATAACAGTACAGTGATACAGCACATAACGGCATTTCAGTAAATGATGGGGCACATATATGATGGTGGTCCCATAATATTATAATACTGTACCTTTGCTTTTTGTTGTTGTTATTATTTATATGTGTATTTTTAAATTTACTTTTAGACTGAGTCTTGCTCTGTCGCCCAGGCTGGAGTGCAGTGCTACAATCTCAGCTCACGGCAACCTCTGCCTCCCGGTTTCAAGCAGTGTTCCTACCTTAGCCTCCTGAGTAGTTTAGATTACAGGCACCCACTACCACACCCAGCTAATATTTTGTATTTTTAGTAGAGATGAGGTTTCACCATGTTGGCCATGCTGGTCTTGAACTCCTGGCCTCAGGTGGTCTGCCTACCTCAGCCTCCTAAAGTGCTGGGATTACAAGCATGAGCCTTCATGCCTAGCTATTTATACATCTATTTATTTAATTTCTGGATTCAGGGGATCTGTGTGCAGGTTTTTAAATTAGATACATTGCATATTAGTCAGGTTTTGGCTTCTAGTGTGTCCATCACCCAAATAGTGAGCATCGTACCGAAGAGATAATTTTTCAAATCTCAACCTCCTCCCACCCTTCCTCCTTATAAAGGGCCCGGTGACTATTATTTCCGTCTAATACTGTACCTTTTTTCATGTTAAGATACACAAATACAGCCAGGCACAGTGGCTCACGCCTGTAATCCCAGCACTTTAGGAGACCAAGGCGGGCAGATCACTTGAGGTCAGGAGTTCAAGACCAGCCTGGCCAACATGGTGAAACACATCTCTATTAAAAATACAAAAATTAGGCAGCCATGGTGGCACAGACCTGTAATCCCAGCTACTTGGGAGGCTGAGGCAGGAGAATCATTTGAACCCAGGAGGCAGAGGTTGCAGTGAGCCAAGGTCACGACACTGCACTCTAGCCTGGGAGACAGTAAGACTCTATCTCAAAAAATTAAAATGAAAACAAAAAAGATGCACAGATAAGTACCATTATGTTATAATTCTACAGTATTTCATGCAGCACCATGCTGTCCAGGTTTGTAGCCTAGAAGCAATAGGTCATACCATAAAAGGCTATAGCATAGGTGTGTGGCAGGCTGTACCATCTAGGTCTATGTAGGTAAACTCTACGACGTCTGCATAATGATGAAATCACCTAAAGAAATGTAACGGCACTTGGATCCAAGTGCCTTCAAGTTGTGTTATTATCTCAAAATTAATATTACATCATGAAAGGTTGGGACCAGGTACAATGGCTCACGCCTGTAATCCCAACACTCTGGGAGAGCGAGGTGGGTGGATCACTTGAGCCCAGAAGTTTGAGTTCATTCTGGGCAACATAGTGAAACCCCATCCCTACAAAAAGTACAGAAATCAGCCAAGCTTGGTAGCATGCTCCTGTGGGCCCAGTTACTCAGATGACTCAGATGGGAAGATCGCTTGAGCCCAGGAGGTTGAGGCTGCAATGAGCTGTGATTGCACCACTGCTGTCCAGCCTGGGTGACAGAGGAAGACCTTGTCTCAAATATAGGAAAAAAAAAAAAAGAAAGAAAGAAAAAGAAAAGAAAGCTTGGTGAATTTACCGAACATACCTTACTGTCAAGGTTCTTCATTGTTAACAGATCAAGAGACTTCAGGGAATGTCCTGTGGGTGAAATGAAGTACAGACACACGTGGACGCGGGAATCGTGGTAGTCAAACAAGGAACGTTTAATCTTCAGCTCCTCTTGAAGATAAGCCTCAAATTGGGCATCTATGTAGTCAACTATTGGTTGGTAGCTAAAAAAGCAATTTATCTATTTAGCATAACGGATTAATAAAATCTAAAGCCTGCTTTTTGACCGCTTAATGAACAGCTAACACGTATGCATGTATACAAACCAGTTTGCTATCGTGATAAAGGAAACGTTCATAACGTGTCCATTCAAAGATATTAATTTGAAACCAATAATCAGGCTCATGCTTTACTGTACTCTATGGTTACATAAAATGTAACCATAGAGGAAAGCTGGGTGCATCCAACAGGGCACTAGTATCCAGACTATAGACATAACACAAGCAAATAAACAACAACAAATAATCTCATTAAAAAGTGGGCGAAGGACGTGAATAGGCATTTCTCAGAAGACCAACATACAAAGTAAAACCACAATGAGTTATCATCTTACCCCAGTCAGAATGGCTATTGTTAAAAAGATTAAAAATAAAACAGGCCAGGTGCAGTGCTTCATGCCCATAATCCCAGCACTTTGGAAGGCCAAGGTGGGAGGCTCCCTTGAGGCCAGCAGTTTGACACCAGCCTGGGCAACATAGCAAGACCCCATCTATAAAAACAATTTTTAAAATTAGCCAGGCATGGTGGCATGCTCCTGTAGTCCCAGTTACTCAAGAGGCTGAGGTGGGAGGATCTCTTGAGCTTGGGAGGTAGAAGCTGCAGTGAGCTGAGATTGTGCAACTGTGCTCCAGCCTAGGTGATGGAGTGAAACACTGTCTCAAAAAATAATAAAAGTAAATGAATAACACAATTTGGCAAGGATACAGAGAAATGGGAACCCTTAGACACTGTCGGTGAGAATGTAAATTAGTAAAACCTGTATGCAAAATTTATATAAATAAAGAAATAAGGAAATAAGCTAAAACTAGATTTTTTGCTATAACTAGTTAAATAAAAATCTTGTAAGAAAATCAATTGTATACAAAAGTATTAATCTTGTAAGAAAAGAACATTACTTAGGAAAATGTTAAAATATGAAAGAAAAGGTATTACTTACACAAATTAGTGTATGGCAAAGGAAGGCAAAAGCTCTGAAAGAAGAAATCTTTTTTAATTTAAATAAGAAAACACTAACCTGGCTTCTTTGTTCATTTGATCACCATAACCCACTGTTTCCACGACAGTCAATTTCAACTGAACATTGCTTTCCTGAAGTTCATATGTGTGTATTTGAAGACTGACATTTGAGTAAAAATGTGAGGATTTGTTATCTTTCAAGTTTGTATTAAATAACGTGTCAATCAGTGTTGATTTTCCAATTCCAGTTTCCCCTGTAATAGACAGAGATTCATTGTCACAGGGGCATCAAGGGGCTTAGAAGAAGCCACGCTCTGAATTCCTACAGTGGTTTTTAAACTCTTAGAAAGCTGAACTCATAAAAGTAGTGAGTAGAATACTGGCTACCAGAGACTGGGGGAGCAGGGAGAGAGGAAACTTTGGTCAGAAGGTACAGTATTTTTTTTTTTACTTATTTTAGTTTTGGGGGTACATGTGCAGGTTTGTTATATAGGTAAGCTTACCTCATTAGGATTTGTTGTACAGATTGTGTTGTCATCGAGGTGCTAAGCATAGTACCCAATAGTTATTTTGTCTGATCCTCTCCTTCCTCCGAACCTGCTCCCTCAAGTAGCACCAGTGTCTATTATTCCTTTTTTTGTGTCCATGTGTTCTCATCATTTAGCTCCCACTTTGTTCTCAGCACATATTCTCAGCCATAAGAAAGAAAAAGATCCTGTCCTCTGTAGGAACATGGATGGAGCTGGAGGCCATCCATCATCCTTAGCAAACTAACATACCTCATTCCACACTCTTCACAATAGCAAAGACATGGAATCAACCTAAAGGCTCATCAATAATAGACCGGATCAACAAAATTTGGTACATACATACCATGGAATACTACATAGCCATGAAAAAGAATGAGACCATGTCCTCTGCACGAACCTGGATGGAGCTACAGGCCATTATCCTTAGCAAACTAACAGTTTCAAACAGAGAGGAGAAGTAAGATTTGAGATCTACTGCACAGCATTGTGACTGTACTCAATGTATATTTCAAAATAAGAGAGTAAATTTCAAATGTCTTATCATAGAAAAATGATAGGTAAGCCAGGTAATAGATGAGTTAATTCACTTGATTGAATCATTCCACATTGTAAACATATATCAAAAATCACCTTGTATCCATACATGTATATAATTATAATTTTTCAATTAGGAATACTATTAATTTTAAAAATAAAAAAGGGCCTCAAATACTTCAAAGACTGAGATAGTGTTGAAAGTGTACATGCTAGCCCTGATTCTCTCAGTCACTAACATAATGGAGAAAGAAAGTATACACTAAGCGGCCGGGCGCGGTGGTTCACACCTGTAATCCCAGCACTTTGGGAGGACAAGGCAGGCGGATCACAAGGTCAAGAAATCGAGATCATTTGGCCAACATGGTGAAACACTGTCTCTACTAAAAATACAAAAGTTTGCTGGGCATGGTGACATATGCCTGTAGTTCCAGCTACTTGGGAGGCTAAAGCAGGAGAATCACTTGAACCCAGGAGGCAGAAGTTGTAGTGAGCAGAGATTATGCCACTGCATTGCAGCCTGGAGACAGAGCAAGACTTGGTCTCAAAAAAAAAAAGAAAAGAAAAAAAGAAAAAGGAAAACACAGTATATGCTAAGTTACATCAGACTTTTAAGAGCACAGAAATGTTTAAATTTTCAAAAATTATTACAGGTCAAGTGTGGTGGCTTATGCCTGTAATCTCAGCACTTGCGGAAGCTGAGGTAGGTGGACTGCTTGAGCCCAGGAGGTTGAGGCTACAGTGAGCCATGATGACACCATTGCACTCCAGCCTGGGCAACAGAGTGGGACCCTGTCTCAAAAAAAATTACATACTATGGCTAAGATGAAAATCATTGTAAACATGAAGATATACTTGAGTTAATACCATCAGTGTCACACTGCTTAAGATAAACTGAAAAGAACATTGGAAAAAGTGAAGGAACACTTCAAATGAAGTGTCTGACACTTACCCACACAGAGAATATTAAAAGTGAATCCTTGTCGGATAGATCTGTTCACCAGCTGATTGGGCAAACATTCAAAACCAAAATGTCCAAACGTAGTTAAACAACGAATATTGTTTTCTTTTTGCTTAAATAAAAAATGTAGAGTTTTTGTTAGAATAGAAAATGAAGTCATTTGAAAGGAAAATGATTATAGTATATCAAGAAAATTAGAATTGATTATCATTTGATTATCATACCTCAGACAAGATGAAAATATATTAAGTACATTTGGGAAAATAGAAGTCTGTGTTCTAACACATAGATTTGGCTGTTATTTTTATAAATAAAGTAAATCTATCTCTCAGCACACCTAAAGAGGCACTGTCTCAAAATTTTAAAATAAATAGCAGCCAGGCACAGTGGCTCATGCTTGCAATCCCAGCACTTTGGGAGGCTGAGATGGGCAGATCGCTTGGGGTCAGGAGTTCGAGATCAACCCACCAACATAGCAAAATCCCATCTCTACTAAAAATAACAAGCCAGGCATGGTGGCGTGCCCCTGTAGTCCCAGCTACTCGGGAGGCTGAGGCATGAAAATCACTCGAACACAGGAAACAGAGGTTGCAATGAGCTGAGATCTCACCACTGCTCTCCAGCCTGGGCAACAGAGTGAAACTCTATCTCAAAAATTTAAAAAATTAAAGAAATAGGGCCGGGCATGGTGGCTCAAGCCTGTAATTCCAGCACTTTGGGAGGCCGAGGCGGGTAGATCACGAGGTCAAGAGATCGAGACCATCCTGGTCAACATGGTGAAACCCCGTCTCTACTAAAAATACAAAAAATTAGCTGGGCGTGGTGGTGCGTGCCTGTAATCCCAGCTACTCAGGAGGCTGAGGCAGGAGAATTGCCCGAACCCAGGAGGCGGAGGTTGCGGTGAGCCGAGATCGCGCCATTGCACTCCAGCCTGGGCAACAAGAGCGAAACTCCGTCTCAAAAAAAAAAAAAAAAAAAAAATTAAGGAAATATTTCAAGAAACTCTAATGTATTACTCTGACATAATAAATTATTTTTTCCATAAGAAAAAAGTAAAAGACATTAACATCCTTTCATTCTGCTCTAGCATATCAATATATTGAGAAAATTCCACACGTTAATCCAGATGCTTCTCAACTTATGATGAGGCTGTGTCCCAAGAAACGTATCATAAATTAAACATAATGTAAGTCAAAAATGCATTAAATACACGTAACATAACATTATAGCTCAGTCTTGCCTGCCTTAAACATGCTCAGAACACTTAAATTAGCCTACAATTGGGTAAAATCAACTAAGACAAAGCTTATGTTATAATAAAGTATTGAATTCTCATGCAGTTTATAAAATAAAGTGAAAAAGAGTCCTATCATAGGCTCAAAAGTTTAAGTTGAATGACGGTCAGCTACAGATCTTCCATATATGTGAGGAAACCATAATCAATTTGAAATTTTTAAAACATCAAATGATTTTGACTTCAAATTTGTTATATGCCCTCTGAGGACTTGTGTAATATTGAAGAAATCTACTGACAACACCATTCTAGAAAATTAGAAACTCATCAGTATTATACATAAATTTACCACCTAATCGTTTTTAAAAGGTTAAAACGTCATTCATTTTTTATTTCTAAGCATTTTTATTTAAAAAATGGGAATTACACAACGCCTTCCACACCTATAGGCACATTAAATACCACTTTGCCATGACAGTTCAGCCTACCTCACAGCTCTTAACACTATTCTATGAGGAATACAAAATGCCTTTTCACTGACGATAACATGATTTAAAAATGTTCTAGTATATGTGAGAATAAAGGAATCATAAATCAGCAGGAAAGTTGTTGAGGTAGAAGCATCAACAATCAGCTCAGTAGATGTTGTCTATGTTTATGTTGTACCTTTATAAAACAAGGACGTACCACCTGGCCAAGCTCAGTGGCTCACACCTGTAATCCCAGCACTCTGGGAGGCCGAGACAGGTGGACCACCTGAGGTTAGGAGTTCCAGACCAAGCTAGTCAACTTGGTGACGCTCCTTCTCTACTAAAAATAGAAGAATTAGCTGGGTGTGATGGCAGGTGCCCCCAGCTGATCAGGAGGCTAAGGCAGAAGAATCACTTGGACCTGGGAGGCAGAGATTACAGTGAGCTGAGATCTCAGCCCACTACAGACTCCATCACCTGGGCTCAAGCAATTCTCTGCCCCAGCCTCCTGAGTAGCTGGGACTACAGGCATGTGCCACCATGCCCAGCCGATTTTCGTATTTTTAGTAGAGACAGGGTTTTGCCATGTTAGCCAGACTGGTCTCCAGCTCCTGACCTCAGGTGTTCCACCTGCTTCAGCCTCCCATAATCCTGGGATTACAGGAGTGATCCACCACGCCTGGCTAATTTTTGGTAGAGACAGAGTTGCACCATGTTGCTCAAGCTGGTCTTGAACTCCTGAATTCAAACAATTCTCCTACCTTAACCTCCAAAGAGCTGGGATTACAGGTGTGAGCCACTGAGCCCAATCTACTAACAGAGATTTTTTTTTTTTTTTTTTTTTTTTAGATGGAGTTTCGCCCTTGTTACCCAGGCTGGAGTGCAATGGCGCGATCTTGGCTCACCGCAACCTCCGCCTCCTGGGTTCAGGCAATTCTCCTGCCTCAGCCTCCTGAGTAGCTGGGATTACAGGCACGCGCCACCACACCCAGCTAATTTTTTGTATTTTTAGTAGAGACGGGGTTTCACCATGTTGACCAGGATGGTCTCGATCTCTTGACCTCATGATCCACCCACCTCGGCCTCCCAAAGTGCTGGGATTACAGGCTTGAGCCACCGCGCCCGGCCTGATTTTAAAACAGCTATTATAAATGTGCAGAGCCATAAAAGAAAGTGTGCATACACAAAGAGTAAAAAGACAAAAATCCCAGGAGAAGAACAAAAATTATAAAATTAAAATAAAAGCAGAAAGTATGGCCGGGCATATTGGCTCACACACTTTGGGAGGCCAAGGCAGGTTGATCACCCTGTGGTCAGGAGTTCGAGACCAGCCTGACCAACATAGTGAAATCCTGTCTCTACTAAATATACAAAAATTAGCCAGGCATGCTGGTGGGCACCTATAATCTCAGCTACTCAGAAGACTGAGACAGGAGAATCCCTTGAAGCAGGGAGGCAGAGGTTGCAGTGAGCCAAAATCGCACCATTGCAATCCAGCCTGGGTGACAAAGCAAGACTCCATCTTTAAAAAAAAAACAAAAAACAGAAAGCAAAGAAATAAGAAATAGATGTCTTAAATAAATTAACAAAAATTTGCTGCCTTGAAAAGATTGATAAACACCCAGCTAGACTAATAAAAACACCTAAAACACAAATTGCTTATAGCAAAAATGAGAGAATATCACTACAGACCACACAGATATCAAAATTATAATAGAATGCTATAAACACATTTATAAACACATTTTGCCAATAAATTTTAAATTACTCTTTTGCCAAGAAACTTGAAAAAAATAAACTTCTTTAGAAAAAAAATTATAAAAATGACAAAATGGAAAATATAAAACCTAAATAGTCATATATCTATTGAAGAAATTGTACTCAAAAACCTTTCCACAAGGAAATCTTCAGGTCCTGCTGGTTTCACTATTGAGTTCCATCAACAAGCAGTTAAAGAAAAATTCACTTAAAAAAAAAAAAAGAAGTAAAAAAAAGCCGGGCTTGGTGGCTCACGCCTGTTATCTCAGCACTTTGGGAGGCCGAGGCAGGTGGATCACCTGGGGTCAGGAGTTCAAGACCAGCCTGGCCAACGTGGTGAAACCCTGTCTTTAAAAAAGAAAAGTAAGAAAAATTCACGGAAACTCTCTACAAAACAGAAGAGGGGGGAGTTTTTTCCAATGTTTGTTATAAAATCAGATACAATGTCAATATGAACACCAGGGCCAGGCGTGGTGGCTCATACCTGTAAACCCAGCACTCCGTGAGGTAGAGGCGGGTGGATCATCTGAGGTCAGGAGTTTGAGACAGGCCTGACCAACATGGTGAAACCCCTCTCTACTAAATAAAAAAAAAATTAGCTGGGCATAATGGTGCATGCCTATAATCCCAGCTACTTGGGAGGCTGAAGCAAGAGAATCCCTTGAACCAGCAGGCAGAGGTTGCAGTGAGCCGAAATCGCACTACGCACTCCAGTTTGGGTGACAGAGCAAGAGCCTGTCTCAGGAAGAAAAAAAAAAAAAAAAATCCAACCAATCAAACAACAACAACAAAAAACCATCTGGCAAAGATATCACAAAAATAGAAAATTATACATTAATTTCTGTGCATAGCTGCAAAAATTCTTTTTTATTACCATGATTAAATTTAATTTTAATTGTACAACTAGTGAGTGTGCAAATAAATTTTTCTTAACTAAAATATTGAAAGAAAAGATAACATTCCATTTGACTATTCCCCACATCCCATCCCTTTCCTCTTTTCCCCATTTTTATGATTCTAGACATTAAAAAAATACTTTTATATAGACAAATATAGAGATATTAAATTTAAAAAACACATACATGGCTGGGTGCAGTGGCTCATGCCTGCAATCCCAGCTCTTTGGGAGTTCGAGATCAGGAGTTCAAGACCAGCCTGGCCAATGTGGTGAAATCCCATCTTTTGTAAAAATACAAAAAAAAAAAAAAAATTAGGTGTGACGGCATGTGCCTGTAACCCCGGTCACTCAGGAGGCTGAGGCAGGAGAATTGCTTGAACCTGGGAGGTGGAGGCTGCAGTGAGCCGAGATCACACCAGTGCACTCTAGGCTGGGGACAAGAGTGAAATTCCGTCTCAAATTAAAAAAAAAAATACACATACAGTCTGTAATTTCCTTTTTTCATACAGTCTGTAATTTCCTTTTTTCTACTAAAAATCTATATATGTTAATTAGCTAGCTTTATTGAGGAATAATTTATATTTAATAAAATTCACCAACTTTATGTGTATACTTGGATGAGGTTTTTTTTTTTTTTTTTTTTTTTTTTTTTTTTTTTTTTTTGAGACGGAGTTTCGCTCTTGTTACCTAGGCTGGAGTGCAATGGCGCGATCTCGGCTCACCGCAACCTCCGCCTCCTGGGTTCAGGCAAT